GCGGCAAAATCAAAATTTGTGATTGGTCAACGCACTCTGCCGCATGGCGTTTCCGTGTCTATGGAGTCTTAGCATCACGGTCGGTCTCGCTCCGCGTGTACTTGGCGCGAGACACTACCGTGTCTCTTGATAAGAAACTTATTTTCCGCTCGTTTGAAGCAAGGCTATAATGAGAAAGACCATTATATACGAGCATTAATAGATGTTACGGAAAATTCATATCTAATTTTTATATGTATTATTGTAACACATATATGTATATTCCAATTATTCACTGTGCTACGATCACAGCCGAACTTAATACACAGTTATCATTAGAACGTTAAAAACTCTTCTATCCCCCCACAATTAAATCGACACGATTTAATTATTAAAAAACTGTAAAGAATTTATTGCGAAAAATATCACCTCAGCCGAATTTTCCGTAACATCTATTAATGCTCGTATAATGGTCTTTCTCATTATAGCCTTGCTTCAAACGAGCGAAAAATAAGTTTCTTATTGTTAATATACGCTGACCTTACAATGCGTCTTAGTGTCTACAACTATTATTAACCGGTTATTGCGAGGAATATTACCACATGCCTCGGTGGTCAAATTGGTACGACGCCCTACACGGAATGAGGGAGGTTCCAGGTTCGAACCCTGGCAAAGGTGTACACGACCCGTATAGATCGTGGGCTATGGCGGTGAAGGAAACACTGAGTTTTAATTGTTGACAAAATAAAATATATTTAGAATATAGCAGGATAATTTTCAATCGTATTTATAAACCATTATGGCAAAATTCAATAATCATATTAATCAAGAAACAATATATAGTTCACATTGTAATAGTCCGTTCAATGACAGGAATATAAACATTAGTTGACTGTATGATCTCAATTTGAAACTTAAAATGTAAAATAATAATATATTACAAGGTAATTATAACGAAAGAATTAATATGATATGATATACTTAAATGTATCTTTAAATTATTTAATCACTGAAAAGACTATTAGACATGACAAGAAAATGATATCATAATTAATAATGAACCAAAATAATCTTACACATAAATTTTTATAAGTGAATAATGCGTTAAATAATAATCTTTATTAAACGCATTAATTCAACATCGATTCGTGAAAACGCAACGAAGATTTAACGTATTTCATATGAATCGATGTATTGTGTGTTACACCGTTGAATATAATTTCTGAATAAATGAGCGTTGAATTTTATGGCGAATCTTGTTCAGAACAATTGAAGCAATATACATCTTATCTTAAACATTTGACGCATTAATTCGTATTGATTAAACAAATGAATCTCTTCGCAAATATGTATAAAGAAATATGTGAAATTAACTATCACAAAAAATAGAATTAAACGTGTCGTAAGCTTACATAATTTACTTTACTTGGCCAAAATGAAATAGCAAGAATGAACAGTCAAAAAAATGGTTGCAACCCGTAAATAAATATCTTGAGTACTCAAGTGAAAAGAACGATTATCGTTCCCGTCAATAAAATGCTCCGCTGAGTGCTAAAGCCTTTCTTATGTCCTTTACTGAACGGTAGATCTCTCGAGATTTCTGGAATCAATGATCGTAACTGTAGGAGATTTGGGGCCATAGGGCCAGTATTGATGAGGGATCGGAGAAATTAGCGTAGTAGTGGAGCAGTCGTGGGGTAGCAGCCTAAGTGCTAGGCTTGTGAGCGAAGGATCCCGAGTTCGAGTCCTGGTAGCTCCGTTAATTTTTCTCTGCGCTTACAGTTCAGAAATGGGATTGTGCTCGCGTTACCTTGTTGGAGGAGAACTTGCCCGATACACCGGATACCTGTGGGTGGTGTGATTAGGAAGTTGTGGAGTATGGCTCCGGGTTATTCTTGCAGGCTTCGGCAGTCAGAGGGTATGGCACATTCGGGGCGAATGTGATGTCAGGGCTGGCCGAGCTGTAGGAGATTTGGGGCCATAGGGCCAGTATTGATGAGGGATCGGAGAAATTAGCGTAGTAGTGGAGCAGTCGTGGGGTAGCAGCCTAAGTGCTAGGCTTGTGAGCGACGGATCCCGAGTTCAAGTCCCGGTAGCTCCGTTAATTTTTCTCTGCGCTTACATAACCGATACTGTTTAAGAGGATCAATGATTCTTATTCAGAAATCTAAGAGTTACCTGTATTCTGATGTCTACCGTATTTGAATGCACTTCCAAAAAAGATCCAAACAGACTATGTCCATAATAGTCGCTCCCTTGGTCTCTCCAGAATGTGTCGTCATCATCAAGAAACGAAGTAATGGCGTCGATCTTATGCCGTCATCATCAAGAAACGGAGTAATGGCGTTGATCTCTCATACGTCTGAGAATGATATCGAGCCCTGATCCTGCCGTGTGCCAATTACAGTCCCTCAGATCCTCTCGTACTTCTCATTACAGTCCCTCGGATCCTCTCGTACTTCTCATTCAGTTACATAAAGTATCACACTCGTCGTTTACAATGACTCGGATTCAATATAATAACGAATTCAGATTACACGGCAGAAGGTCAGAAAAATGTCTTCACTGATAGACAAACAAGAAACGAATAACGCCGGTTGCCCGGGCCGCAAGCTTGTGCATGCACGCGCGCTTTCTTCTTCACGCGGCAATTACATGAATTGAATATCGATACGTCGCGCCTCTAGCGCTTTACGCTATACAATTTTTCTAGGGAACTAGATTCGCCAACTGAAGTGAGTTTACTAAATCGCTAGTACTTTCTATGAAATATCATAGATGGCAATATTCACCCTTCTCTCCTCAATGTCTCATCGCGCTTTCAAACAAAAGGTGATTTTTTTCGCAATAAATTCTTTACAGTTTTTTAATAATTAAATCGTGTCGATTTAATTGTGGGGGGGATGGAAAGGTTTTTTAACGTTCTAATGATAACTGTGTATTAAGTCTGGCTGTGATCGGAGCACAGTGAAAAGTTGGAATATATATGTGTTACAATAATACATATAAAAATTAGATATGAATTTTCTGTAACATTTATTAATGCTCGTACAATGGTCTTTCTCATTATAGCCTTGCTTCAAACAAGCGAAAAATAAGTTTTTTAAGTGGTACGTATTGTAGCTAGAAAATTCTTTATTACACCTCTACTAAGCAAATCAGTAAAGCCAATAGTTGACGCTACAAAACCAGACGAATGGCTCTACGGAGCCGAGTTTGCTGAAGAGATTAAGGAAGCGAAAACTATTGAAAAATTGTGCGCTAACATCAAAGCCCCCGACAAGTCTTCAAAAATCTTCGGTAAAAAACCGAAGAATCAGGAAAACTTCAAGACCCTACCTGCAAGATACAAGCAGATGGGTCAATATCAGAGACGTCCAACAATAAGATTCAAGTCGAGGAATGTACGATCCATTCAGGGTACGTCGAAGACTTTGAGTCGGTCGAAGAGTTAGACGTCGACGAAGAAATAGCTGAAATAAAGCCAGTCGCAGGTCGTCTGAAATTATTTATAAATAATTGGGATAAAGTAACTACTGATGAACGCATAATTCGATGGTTGCAAGGGTATAAAATTCTCTTCAAAGAGCTTCCCAAACAAGCTAATCCTCCAAAAGAACCCAATTGGTCGACAGAAGAGTCTCTTAAAATTAAGACTGAGCTTAAAAAATTGTTATCCATGCAAGCAGTCGAACAGTGTGAAGATTGTAATAGACAATTCATCTCATCATATTTTCTAGTTCCGAAGCCTGATGGAAAGCAGATTTATTATAAATTTAAAAAATTTAAATAAATTTATTACTCCACCCCACTTTAAAATAGAAGATATACGCTCTGCAAAAGCTTTATTAAGTCAAGGAGACTACATGGCTTCATTAGAGATTTGAAAGATGCGTATTGTTTGTTGCCAGTGCACGAAGAGTTTCGCAAATACTTACGTTTTAGATTCCAAAACAAATTATTTCAATTTACTTGGGGTTATGCACTAGTCCTTATGTTTACACAAAAATTATGAAACCGGTGATGAAGCAATAAAGGGTGAGGTAGCAATAAAAGCTGTTGGAACATTTAGGCTTTGTGGTAAATTACAAAAAGAGCTCTCTAATACCCATCAGTCAAAAACGCAAGTATTTAGGCTTTATAATCAATTCTGTAGACTACACCCTAGAATTAATAGATAAGAAAAAGTCACAAATAATCAAGTTATATAAATCTTTCGAAGAAGGAAAATACTCTATAAAATCAAAGAGTTTGCTAAACTATCAGGTGTTCTAACAGCAGCAGTTCCTGCAGTAGCTTATGGATCAATTCACTGTAAAAGATTGGAGCGACAAAAATTCCTAGCTTTAATTATCAATAATAACAGCTACGAGGGAAAGATATTTATATTATTAATAAAAAGATGAGGGAAGATTTAGACTGGTGGCAAAATATATAAAACCGTGATAAGGAAGAATCCTATTAGATTAAATCAATTTCAAGTTGAATTATCATCAGATGCGTCTTTGACTGGGTGGGGAGCTCATTGTCAAAGCATAAGCGCTCATGGTCTCTGGTCTAACGAGAAAAGAAAATTTAGTATTAATTACCTAGAGTTACTAGCAGCTTTTCTGGCATTGAAATGTTTCGTAGCAGATTACTCTAACTGTGAAATTTTATTAAGAATGGACAACACATCCGCAATAGCATACATAAATAGAGCGGGTGGAATCCAATTTCCACATTTAAGTGAATTATCGCGAAAGATTTGAAAATAGTGCAAAGATAGGAATCTATGGATTTTCGCTTCTTACATCCCTTCAAAAGAAAATATTGAAGCGGATTATGCATCACGTATTGTTAACGTTGACACGGAATGGGAGTTGAATGATAAGGTATTTAAGAAAATTCTTAAACGATTTCGTCCATTCTCAATTGATTTATTTGCCTCGAGACTAAATAAAAGAATTCTGCTTATTATAAAACAATATACATGATAAATTTAAATTATTCATCATATCGATAATATTATAGTTAATGCACTAATATCGCATCATAACTTCGCGAATCCAGTCTATATATGAAGAAACTTTAGTAAACACATTAGGTGATTTGGTAGGACAAAATTGGTCTCCGTAACTCACAATACCTATTTGAAAGTCCTGGTCATTTCTTCTTACGATGAGAGGACCACCGCTGTTACTCTAAAAATAAAACATTAAATATTAGTTATTTGTGTAACAAGTGAGGTAAGATGAAAATTCCCACGAGCCGAAGGCGAGTGCGGTAACCGTACCCGGAAATTTTCATCTTTACACACGGCTTACACTCCCTATTTTATGTTGCAAGTGCCTGGAAAGTGGAATTTCATTTAGCCTATAAAATGATACAAGGTAATTTATATTGCGCGTTAGAATAATGTACTTTATATATAAGTATAATTTTTGTAGTATATATATTATTATAAACTATAACTGTATTATTTGTGATTATTTTTTACCTCACAAGTGTCTTGTCCCAATCCTGCAGCGGCCGTGCAAATGTGCTTGTTGTTGATGGGCCAGTATTGCCTGCATACATTATTTTCTATAATCGACGATGTAGTATACTTAAGTCTTGTCATACCTCTGTTACGAATATGATTTATTCCCCATTTAGTCACATAAGCACACTCTTTGTTCACAAAGCTTTTGTCGTAATATGCGAGTTTTATTGGCTGAATGTCAACTAAAATAAAGACATACTATATTTAACTAATAATTTCTTAAAATCAATGTTGAGATATAATATACATTCGTAATACTTTTTCAGTAGTTTTAGATATAATTTTTGGTATTTTTTTAGTATGCATCAAGGAATGTATCAAAGATTATAAAAGAAGCTGTACGTAGATATACCATACAATTTTTTATTTCCACGAGTCTTTTTTCCACATTTATAAAACTATGTGTTATTCAAATGATCGTTATTAACTTTTTGCATATTTTCCATAGAATAATTAAATAATGCCGACGTGTAAATAAGCGTAAAAGGAAAAAGGTAAGAAATATCAATTTAAATGTACTTACTGGACAAGGGAATATCTTGTGGCATGTAGAGTAACGCAATATCATTATAGCCAATTGCGTATTGCGGATGTATAAACGCTTGAGTCGTAACCATCGACACAATGAGAAGTCTAAGAAGACCGTATCCAATGCCAAACTTGTCTATGATAGTAAACACTACGAAAAATGTACTTACTCGAAAAGGGAATATCTTGCGGCTTATAGATTAAGGCAATGTTACTATAGCCTTTTTGCATATTGCAGACATATAAATGTTTGAGTCGTAATCAATTAACGTAATCATCGACATACCGAAGATTCGAAAAAGCTCGTATCCAATGCCTAACTTGTCGCTGATACCAAACTCTACGAGAAATGTTCGGGGGTATCTTTCTACGCAATGCGCGGTTGTGAGAATCCATCTTTTGGATAAAACCGTGCCGGCGCATTCTACGTATCCGTATCCCAAGAATTGATGCATCATTACCATGTATGGATAGCCTGGGGACTTTAACGCAGTTGTGGATCCGTCCGTTATGTTAGTTGCTTCATCTGTCGTTTAAGAAAGAACTCGAGTGTAGAGAAAGACGATCATTACAGCTTTGGTATAAATATTATATGAACTATGTGCGAAAATCATACGTGAAATTACATATTTTATTTAAGTAAATTATTTATTTATTATTTATTAAGTAAATATTACGTTATCGCGTATCACGTTAGATTAACGATGCTACAACTATATTCGGATTTTATTACAGAAAAGCTTCCATTTGATATATTACAAAATAATATACACTTGCAGCAAGTAATTATATCAAATTGCATTGATAAAATTAACTAAAACTGTTTCAATTTTTGTTTTTGCTTACCATTATTCGCGTCAAGATCGACAGCAACGATGGGATTGTCACATGTGACGTTTCCAGATTCGTTTATCAAGTACTGACTTCGAGTATGAGATATTGTCAAACAGAGTACAACGCACAATAATAGCTTCGTACTTACAATTAGTGGATTCATAATAGACTGTTCCGCGTGTCGTCCATGCAAATTTCCTATTTGTGCAGTTGTGTCGATATTCAGGCAATAATAACGACTAACAAAATTATTAACACTTTTGACAACACTTTTGTGAGATGTATTAAAAGTAAAGGTTTCAAAAAATACTGCGGTGGATATACATACCAGTTATTTTTTATTATTTTTTTAATATACAGATACTTTCTGAACATAGCAATGACTCATTTGTCATCTTGGACAGTTCTAATGATGAGCCATGTGCAGTAAAATATAACATCATTAGGAGGTCAGAACTGCTTTCGACAGGGGTTTAAAAATCTAAAATTCGAAGTATAGGTTCCAATGGAAAATCCGTACGAATAAACCGGGCTAACTAAGAATCAGCGCGGTAAACGATGCGCGAAAGTTTTCCTATTTATATTTTTATTTATTTTACATATTTTCCAACCTTTGACTGTGTGCCGACTAGATTTGTCAGACTAGATTTGTCAAATTGGTACGACACTTTTACGGAATGAAGAAATATAAGTTCCAGGTTCGAACCCTGGCTGAGAGGTAATATTTTTCGCAATGATTTCTTTATAGTTATTTAGATGCATATAGCATCAAAAATTAAATCGAATCGGTTTAATTAGGTGTAGGGGGATTTTACTACTCCAACCGGAGCTGTATGTTTCAAGTCTGACAAATCTAGTCGGCACGCAGTCAAAGGTTGGAAAATATGCAAAATAAATAAAAATATAATTAAAACTATCGCGCATCGTTTACCGCGCTGGTTGTTAGTTAGCCCGGTTTATTTATGTACGGTTTAAAGATCTAAAACTATTTTTTATTTAATACTACCATAATAATCTACAAAATTATATATGATTGATGATCAGGTTCAGATAGCCGAAATTGGGCGAAGTTCTTTATGCCCAGTTAGGCGATTTTTGCAAATGCGGCATTCCTTTATCGTCCGAAAATGTCTGAATCTAGGTATTGCAAATAAATTCTTCGGAAATTTTTCTCCAAAATTTTATTATAACAATACGACTGCAATTTCACAAATTAATTTTAATTTAATTATTGTTTGCAATATAGTGACCAATAAATATTATATACTTCAATTTAAAAAAAACTTTAGACATAAAATAATTTTAAAACAATTTTAAAAGAATAACGACACTTCTGCCTCGTGCAGCAGATTTCACCTATAAACTTGTAAGATTATAATTATAGCACATAAAATTTTAGGCATACTTTTTATGGGCTTAACTTAAAATAAAAACTTTTTGAATTGTGACAGTATTCTTCTCAGGGTACGCGCGATATATTATTCTCTTTATAGCTTTTCAAAATAGCTATTTTGTAGACAATTACGTCGAGAGTCAGTGGGTGTTGGTTATATAACTGAATTGTATTATAGATAATTCTCCGACAAAGCAGGAATTTATAGCACAACTTTACTTACAATAGACTTAAATTTACACGATAAAGTATGGTGTAAATACACATTGCGTTTTGAAGAACTGTCGGGAACTACTTTTGCAGTTTCCGAGACGTCTCTTTTTACAGTATCTAAAGAGGGTCTTATCACTTTTTTGGAAAGTTTTAGTCCATTTCCAATCTAAGTGATTTATCTTAAGGAATTTCTACTGTGTTATTTTATTTTTAAAATAAGTACGTGGACGATGATGAGCATATTATATTCTAATAAGGTTTCTCAATGTTATTGCATTCCTACGGTAAGTATGTGAACGATGATCACACTATACTTCACCAGTACCTTCGGAATGCGTCTGTGTTCAAGCGTTTAGTACACACAATTTTGTGATAGATAGCGTATTTATCTTATGCAAGAAAATATATCGCTGATGCATCGCTTCTTTCCTTACTTTTTAATTTTATTGTAATTTCAGCTACTAGCTGTATGTGTGGGATGGAAAACATCGATAAGCATTCGATGTTTTCCTCGACGTGTGCGAGAACGACTTTTAATCTGGAAACGGGCACCTGTAATGTGATTTTTACATTACAGTGTCGAAAGAAAATAAACCTCACTTCATAGTAAATTTTTGTTATCAATCGAAAATCCATACTTATCTTTCATTTAGTGGTTCCGAGACCCAACCCGCATTACAGAAGAAGTTAGGACATTCATAGTACAGACCTATTAAAACTTGTTGAAGTATAAAAATCATTCCAGGCGACCGTTTACGTTAAAAATTAATAAAATATATAGTAAGAGTTTATATTATATAAATTCGAAATAATAATATGAGTTTGAATGTGATTATGGTTCGAGTATATATGATAGATAAATGCATACTTTATTTACCCCAAGGGGTCTCAAAGGGTGTTTTTAAAGGGACGTACCCAACCCTGTACATTTCATACATTTTTGTTTTCTTCCCGGTCTTTGTGCGACCTTACAACTCATTTACAAAAAAGTCTAAATCCAAATCTAAATCCAAATTTAAATCAAAACCAAAATCAATCTCAAAATCAAAATCAAAAAATCAAAAACATTGTTTAATCCGGCCGTATTCTCTCTTCATCTCCTCCTCCAGATGTTTGCTAAACTTCCTTCTTCCTTATTCGTCCTTTGCTTTTCCTCTCTTCCTTTCTTCTACATCCTCGTCTGTGTCCATCAGCAGGCTCTCCTCTAGTTTGCTTGCTATCTCCTCCTCCGCCGATCTTCTTGGTCTCCCGCCATCCTCCTCCCTCCATTCCTTTCTCTTTTTCTTCTCCTCTCCTTCTCTGAGTCTCCTCTCTATAGATTTGTCCTCGTCCATTTTAACCTTCAGCCTGCTCTTTTCCCTCCTCCGCGCGTTTAACACCCTTCATTTATCCTCCTCGTTTTCCATCCTCACCAGCATCGTCAGCCATTCTCCTCTCAGCCCTATCACGCTTACTTCCTTTACTTCTACCCTTATCTTCAGGCCCTCTGTAAGCATGGCAACTGCTTCACCTTCTCCCAGTTCGTTCCCTTTCCTATCCATCTGTTCTTCTCTATTCTTATTATCACGTTCTTCTTCCTTCTCTCGTCATCATTCCTCTCATCGTCGTCGGACCACCATTTCCTTTCCTCCAGTTTGCCCCTGCTCTCTTTGCTATTGTCTCTCTTTCTTTTCCCCGTGCCTTGTTCCAGTCTGCGTACTTTTCTTCTCAATTTCTCAATCTCCTTTCTCTGATCCTTTATTTCTTCCTTCACTTATTATCTCACTTGTTTGTTCCTTTATCAATTTCTCCAGCGTCTCTTTCTCTACTATCACCTTCGCTCTGCTCTCCATTCTTTCCCTTTGTCACGTACTCTCCTTCTCTTTGACCTTATCTGTAATTAAACGATTATTCTTACCATCTACCAAGTAACTTCCTTTTCCTTTCTCCTCTCTCCGCCCTGCCTCATCTCTTCTATCGCCTCCATCCATTCTTCCCTTTCTCCCTTTTTGCCCAATATCCTCCCTACCACATCCTGCCAACTCTCTCCATCCCAATCCTCCCATCTTGATCCTCCCTCTCTTTCCAGACATGTTCCCACGTCTCTTCCTCCTTCTCACATATCCTGCATTTTCTATCTTCCTCTTTTCCCTAGTATAGTCCCTCCCTAACTTTGTTGCCTAGTATCCCATCCCTGCTTCTTTAGATAATCCGGAATCCCGTTCTTCCTTATAAACTTATATCACCTATTGTATCTAGATTCCATGATCTTTTCCATCCCTTCGTGTCTTTGCTTCGATTTCTCCTTATATTCCAATACCTCCTCTACCAACTCCTCTTCCCCTTTAACTTCTACATCGATTCTTTCCAAGTAGTCTTTTCTCTTCTACTACCATCTGCCTATTATCCTTTCCTTCTTCCATCTGTCTTTCATTTCCTCCAAACATTTTCTCGCTATTTCTCCTCCTTTACTTTCTTCCAGCTTTCTTTCGAACTTCCATGCTCTCTTGCTTGCTCTGGCTCTCATTTTTTCCCTTCCAGTTAATCTCTAACTATGTATCCTGGGGTCCTCCAATTTAATCCGACTATTCATCTGAGATATCTCTCGTGTATCCCTTCTACCTTCTACTATCCTCTCTCCCTCCTTTCCTTCCATTTATGGTTCGAGTATATGTAATATGTTTATAATAAATAAATAATAATGTATAATAATAACAGTTAAAAATATAAAATAGAAAAAATTACAATTCAATGAAAACATATGTGTAAATGCTTAGAAGAAAATAACGTAGTAATAAAGTAATTGTTATATCTAATACAAAATATGTTTTGTTACTATACAGGGTGTCCCAAAACTCATAATTAATCTTTGAGGGGGTGGAAAAAGATAAAATTTTAAGACGAAAGTTCTTGTGTTACTTTTCTCTTCGGTCATTATTTATTGAGTTATTTAACAATTGAGTTGATCAATCCCGTGCGCGCTGTAGCGCAGCATTATTTGATCAAATTAATCGAATAATCGAATGATGAGGTAAGAGGGAGAGAAAGAAGTCTGAGAAACATGTCAAAATAATGTTAAGCGATTTTCAGTTTGCATGCAAACTTTCAATTGCATAAATGTATATGGATACGGGTGACAAAGATTCGGATACGGTACAGCAAAAATCATATGTGCATAAAAACATTACATGCCCCAGAAGATCCTAACTTAAAAATTTCAAATCGAACTCTCTATATTGTAATATATCGTTTGAAAAAACATAAAATAAAAAAAATTTTGGCGCAAACCAGAGGTCGATACGTTGACCCGTTCGGGAGTTATTTAGAGTAAAAAAATGAGTTTTTTCGAATTTTGATTCTAAATAACTACTGAACGGATCAACGTATCGACCTCTAGTTTACGCCAAAATTCTTCTCATTTTGTGCCCTTTCAAACGATTTACTACAATATGGATTATGGAGGGTTTTATTTGTTTGAGTTGAGACACTCGAAATATAGGGGGTGGATATTTTTCGTTGGCGGACCTTGTATATCTTTAACGAAAGATAAATAATTAATTATTATAGTTTTTAACAACGTACTTTGTATATAACACTTGTACGCGGATTAAAATACAGTTTTGAGCAGCAATTAATTACGCGTTGTCGCCACGAGAGCCATCAAGGATAGATTAGCGTACCTAATTCGTTTTATCATTTTGATAGATCACCGAATACTGACCACAATGTCAATCCCTGATATTCCTCTTCTAAAAAGGGCATGTCGTAGGTATTGTTGTCACTTTTCCGCGATGCCGATTGGTTCTCTTGCTGCGCTTACTTCATTTGCAGCTGTCATTGTATATTTTGACAGTTGTGTGTATCAAGTGTTAATAGTGTGATAGTAATAGCATAATGTTATAGCTAAATAGCGCGCGCAAAGCGCGCGTCTGTAGTGTCTAGTCTCCTCTTCTAAAAAGGGGATGTCATAGGTATTGTTGTCACTTTTCCGCGATGCCGATTGGTTCTCTTGCTGCGCTTACTTCATTTGCAGCTGTCATTGTATATTTTGACAGTTGTATGTATCAAGGGTTAATAGTGTAATAGTAATAGCATAATGTTAAAGCTAAATAGCGCGCGCGAAGCGCGCGTCTGTAGTGTCTAGTATAATAAATATGTCATGTAAATGCTGTGACTCATAGAACTGATCGATTCAGGAAGATCATGGAACATAAATATATGTGTTTGTTTATATATGTTACTCATAATAGCACACTTGTCCAAAAGCGGGACATAAAACGTCTAAAAGATGTCTTTTAGACATCTTATTTTAGACGTCTTATTAAAAGATGGCTAAAAGACGTCGAAAAGACGTCTTATGTCCCGATTTTGACGATGACAAAGTCATTTTCGTCAGTTGCACTTCTTTGAATCAGTTAGATAATACTTGTATAATACATTTACTCGTATACTTATATATAATCATTAAATATTGGGTAATTATTTAGATTAACGTACCCCCCTCCAATGACTTTGACCTTGACATATGTTGTCAAGAACATGACCCTGAGTAACTTTTCCTTATAACTTAATCGTCGCTAATTGCAGGTTATTTAAAAGTTATAAACAAAAAAATTTAAATAAAATATACATAATTTTCGAACAACGTGTAGGGGAGATCGGAGCGAAGTCGTCACTACAATTATCTCGAAATCTATATGTTGTGTGAATTCGCCATTAATATTATAAACACTACTATGCCTATATGACCAACGAAGTTTAGTGAGATTATATGCTATTTTGTGATTTTCATTAAGGCAAACATGTTTTCGGAAGTCAAAAGTAAAATTTTTTGCGCGTCAAAAATTTTAAATATTTTAAATGTTATTTTTTCTCTTAATCTCGAGATAAGTGATTTTGAAAAGTAATGCATGCTGAACACAAATCCAGTGAAATTTTTTTATTTTTGTTGATTTCTAATATTTCATGAGCGATCAAACTTGAAATCTGTGTCCGGGGCAAAGTCGTCACCAAGCAATATCATGGAGACTTCAGGCGAAAATCAAAGTCAAAGAAGCAGCAGTGGTCTGATTCTGGCGAGGACTTGGATATAATATGTGCTGCGTGTGCTCAGAGATGACAGAATAGAGCTGACGAGAAACAATGCGTTTCGTGCGAGCGTAGGGCATTTAAGGGTGTGCGCTTTTCTTGTAATTATTTTCCGTCATTGTGTTTTTAATTAATGTTTCCATTTTTCTATTAAAAAATAATTAATAAGACGTATCCTATCATTTTTTATGATCGGAATTATAAATTTTCATTTAAAATTCAGTCCGAGAATAGAGTGACGACTCCGCCCCGGCAATTTTAACATTTCAATTTTTGCACCTTTGTAGTTTTCACTCTATACCAGTTGAACAAAGCGAAATTCAATTAACATAGCTTGCAGGCATATATTAAATCTACACATGTATGCATCGATTATTTTACACGAAAATTTTAACAAGGATTTTTTTAAACAAAACTATACAAAAATTTTCCAATAGTGTACCATATTGCGCGATTATAAAACCAACCGCGACATACTTTATTTTTAGGTATGCATAGCATAAGCATGCTACTCGTTTTCACACACTAAACAAGTAACTACAAATTTACATAAAATTTGCCGTATTCTGGCAGTCAGTACGTTAAATAGTACGAATATAATGCTATGGGCTCACGATATGATCGTCGTGCTCTTTAGTCCGTAGGTGTATATTAAATACTTTTTTTTTACACATGATATTAAATTTTCGCTGTACGAGTCATATTAAAAACCTTAATTCTAATTTTAATAAATTGTTTTAATTATAACTCCTATTATGGTACATGTTGGATTCTACAGAAAATTCACGAATTTATGAGAGTACGATTAATTTGTGATAATAAAGGAAATTAGAATATCTGTGTTATAGTTTCTCAAAAGAAAGACTTCACAATCAAAATGACATCATTTTGACTGTGATGTGTTCCTTGGGTTGTTGTGTAATTTTAGAGTTAGATAAAACGTTAGTACATACTAACAATTTTATACTTACTAAAAATTATATTACTAAAAATTAGTACGTATTAAAAATTTTATATTTACTTTAAATGTTTGTTTTGCTTCCTCATAGAGGAAGCTTTGTGATGGTGAAAAAAAAATTTTTCGACATTTTGATGGAAATAGGTTTAGAATGTTCTAAAATGTCGAAAAATCGTATTAGTAAAAAATGTCCAGAAGTATGTATGTATGTGTGTGTGTGTGTGTGTGTGTGTGTGTGTGTGTGTGTGTGTGTGT